AAGATTTTGTGGGCAAAATATTGAATGATGCAGGAAGCATCAAAAGAAGATGGAAGGAATACACAGAGTCACTGTACCAAAAAGAACTGGTTGATCTTCATCCATTTCAGGAGATGGCATATGTTCAAGAACCAATGGTATTGAAGGAAGAAGTGGAAGCTGCACTGAAAGAACTGGCGAAGAACAAGGCTGCAGGAATTGACGGAATACCCATTGAGATGTTTCAACAAATGGATGTCCCACTGGAGGCCCTCACTTGGTTATGCCAAGAGATTTGGAAGACAGCTACCTGGGCAAGTGACTAAAAGAGATTCATATTTGTACCCATTCCAAAGAAAGGTGATCCCACAGAATGTGGAAATTATCAAACAATACTAATATCCATGCGAGTAAAATCTTACTGAAGATAATTCAAAAATGGTTGCAGCGGTATATTGACAAAGAACTTCTAGAAATGCAAGCTGGATTCAGAAGAGGACATGCAATGAGGGATATCATTGCTGATATCAGATGGATCTTGGTTGAAAGCAAAGAATACCAGAAAGATGTTGACTTGTGTTTTATTGACTGTGCAAAAGCATTTGATTGTGTGGATCATAACAAATTGTGTATAACATTGAGAAGAGTGGGAATTCCCAAGCACTTGATTGTACTCATGAGGAACCTGTACATAGAGCAGGAGGCTGTCATTTGAACAGAAAAAGGGAACACTACATGGTTTAAAATCAAGAAGGGAGTGTGTCCGGGTTGTATCCTTTCACTATACTTATTCAATCTGTGTGCTGAGCAAATAATCTGAAAAATTGCTATATGAAGGAGAATGTGGCATTAGGATTGGAGGAACCACATAGTATGCCCTTGTTCAAATGACGGCCTCCTGAATGTGGCATTAGGATTGTTAATGAAGGTTATCGTTAACAACCTGCAATACGCTGATGACACAACTTTGCTTGCTGAAAGTGAGGATGATGAGGCACTTACTGATGAAGACTGAAGAATAGAGTCTGCAGTATGGATTACCTCTCAATATAAAGAAAACAAAAATCCTCACAACTGGTCCCATAAGCAACACTACGATAAATGGAGAAAAGATTGAAATTGTCAGACTTCACATTGCTTGGTTCTACAATCAACGCCAATGGAAGCAGCAGTCAGGACATCAGAGGACATATATCACTGGGCAAATCGGCTGCAAAGGACCTCTTTCAAGTGCTGAAGAGCAAAGATGTCTCATTGAGGACTATAGTGCACCTGACACAAGCCATGGTACTTTCAATTGCCTCATATGCATGTGAGGGCTGGACAATGAATAAGGAAGACCAAAGAAGAGTTGATGCATTTGAGCTGTGGTGTTGT